TTTCTGGCCGGCAACTTTCAGCGTCATTAAGCCGCTGCGCCACCGCGTCCCCCTATTTTATTTGTCATACTGAGCTCAAAACAATATTCCATCGGCTGACAATCTTAACAGGAACCACTGCATGTTCTTAGGAGAAATCATTAATTCCAGTCTATTACCCTGAGATAACCAAAATCCATGACTGGCTTTGGTACTTCTTATGCCCATCCCATGGTTCTAAAGAAAGGTGCCCACCGTCTCATACATCAAAGGCAGGCTGGCTTGCAGGCTTTGGGTGACCTTCATCCCTTCAGTTCCAATCAACACCCCCCCATCAAGATTTGGCAACCCAAATAACAGGAACACCATTTTCCATATTTCCCCTATAGTATCAGAGCTAGGGAGAGAGGAGGGAGGATAAAATAAGAAGTAAAATCATGTATTAAGGCTCCAGGGGCTATAAGCCAGTGTTTCTTAAAGTGTGGTCTGAGATGCCCTGGGGGCCCCCAAGACCCTCGCAGGGATCCACAACACCATTATTTGCCAGATATTGAAGATATTTGCAAAAATTTAAAACAATATCACTCTTCTCATTATTATTTTTTTAATTTGTTAAAAATATAGGGTTTTTTCATGAAAAATATTTTATATATGTTAATATATAATGGGTTTAATATTGTTATTTTGGCATGATTCAGTAAATAAATATTCTATGAATAAGTCAATACAGTAAATATCAATAAATATAGCCTATACAAATAAAAGCTCTTTTGGGGTCCTCCATAATTTTTAAAAGTGAGAAGGGGTCAGGAGAGCACAAAGTTTAAGAAACACTGCTTTAAGCCATCTCTTCTACTTAGGACCATCGTTCCAACTTCAAATCAGAAAAGTAGAATAAAACTTTCAATATCCATCCTATCTGTCAATGTCCCTATATCACTGCCATACCTCTTGGCCACCAACAAGTTTCATAAATTATTATTTTAAAAAAGGGGCAAAAAGACAACCTCCTGCTGCCTCAAGAAATATCTGGTTTCTTTTCTATCCTCTTCACAAAATTCTCTTCTTGTTCTTGTACTGCAAAAATGGATTGAATTTCTTGGTAGAAAATGCTTGCTTTATCTAATTCCTGGGAGCCAGAAGCTCTCTGGAGTTTATATACTAGTCCTGGGTGTTAGAAGTATTTTTAGGAAGAAGGGAACTCCACTCTGAGTTCAAATAAAATAAAGACATTTTCCTGAATGGCTCATCACAACAGATTAAAATGGTATGCCATTTGCTCACCAGATAAGCACACACATAAAGTTTCCCTCCCCAAACCCCATCTTATCCCCCCTCCCCGCCCAAAGAAGCATTCTGGTTCAAGATTAGGCCTCCACACCCACACCCTCCCAAGAAAAAAATAACCAAGGGGAATAAAATAAAAAGAGGTGGTTTCAACCTAGAATTGTATCCTGTGAAAATCCTTTTCATTGCTAGGCAAACAAATCTGCAGAAATAAATCCAGTAAGGAATTTTTTCAGAAGGATCCATGAGTGAGTTTAGGAAGGGAGAGAGAGGAAAAGGAGGGAATCTTTTTTGGAGTCACACAAAGCGGGGAAAGACAGGGCTGGGACACGATTTAATGAGAAAGTCCTCAGCTCTTTATTTGCTACTCTGTGAAGAATTCATCAAGGCAAAATCACCTCATTCCCTGCTCTTATAATAGGAAAGCAACAGCTTAATCCGCACTTCTACCTCTATCTGTACTGGTGTTTCAAGAATGAGAACTCTCCTTGAGGTCCAAGACTTGGTGTTCTGTTGGTTTTCACATTTCCTGCATTTCTACATCTATTTCCTAATTATGCCTATCTTCTTTTTTAATTGGTAATATTTGCATTCGTGTTGTGTGAATCAGCCTTATGTGCCCTATTGCCAGCTCTACTCTTCGGCCATGCCATTCTGATTTGCAAGTATCACCATTAATACTCATCTGATCCCCACTAAGATTTAAGAAAACCCTTAAATAAAGTTCAGATCTGATCTTCCCATTTGTATTGCATCTTTTTTTCCAACAGTGGCCAGCAGGATTTTTCCAGGAAGACAACAAGCAGGATATGAAGGCAAAAGATTTCAGCTAAGCAATGGCTTGTTTGGCCCAAGTGTTAATTTAATGTCTAATACTGTTGTCAGGTTTTATTTCCAGTATGGATGTGGCCAGATACAGCATTTGGAAATAAATCTCAAAGGAGAAATGGGTACTGAAAAATAGGAATATAGCTAAACTCAACAAGGCAGTATTCCTTTTATTCTTTTAAAAGTAGTAGAATTGAGTATTTGATATCCATTCTGTACAAATCCTTTTGCAACAATCATAGTTGTTTATTTACTAACACTTAAGTTGAAAGCAATAAATTGATTGGCTACATCAATTTTAATGATAGGAATCTAAAGCAAATGAAGAATTCAAGTGAGAAAGAAAATCTATTTTTGTGTGGTATGGGTATGGTAGGATTATAATTCACATGTTGAAAAAGAATGGCTTATTGCATTTCCTAGCCAAAGAGTCATGTGTGGATCTGGCAAAATCTAAATATCAGTTGCTGTTTCCTTCAAGCTTTTCATGTCAATCATATTGTGGCTGTTCCACAGTGGTATTATTTTTAGCTTGAGTGGTAGGTCAGTTCCAATCTGCTGGCCATCTTGTCTTGAAGGTCACCTTCATGAAGAACCTCAAAAGGAACCCAAGCATAGGTGAGATAAACAACCAGAAGCAGGAGGCATTTCAGCTGGATAGCTTAGGAACTAAAGATGTGATAAGCAATTCTTTTTTTAGAGTGCCAAGTCCTATAAGCAGTTACTGGTGTTTTGATAAGGGAAGAGCTTTTCGTTTCTTACTTAAAAATAAATAAAGCCTCTGAAGGGTTTTTCCCAGCTTTAGGCTAGAGGAACTTGAATTAGCCACTCCAGCATGGGTGACATGTCAACTCCAGTGCCACAACATGTTCTGTGTTTCCCCAGTCTGTCTTGTTTAATACTTAACTCTTAAAGCCTTAATGCAAGCAAAAACAATGGGTCCAATCTTGTTTTCTCTCTTGTGAACTACCTCAAAAACTGGGAATTTCTTTTCCAAATCTGCTCTTCATTTGCTTTTTCATAAACTCCCTCATATGTCTTTCTGTCTCTCTAGAGCAAAAAGCATCTCTGGAATGTCTGCCACTCAGTGCAAGCTCTTAAGAGCATCTTGTTGCTCAAAACTTCTGCTCAATAAAGACCTGTTACCAAAAGCCAGCTTAGGTGATTAATTACAAGCTAACACCACTCTTTCTGGAGTCACGAGCTCTTAACAACATTAAGCAATGCCCCTTTGCCCCCATCCCTTTTCAGCTAGAGATTAGAGGGAAGCAGGAAGCTTCAGAAAAAATACAAATTCTTCCAAAAGCTGCTGTGTTGTTCCTAGTTCTAATAAACCAGGTGGTAGTGGTGGCGGTGGTGGTGATGATGATGATGAAGAAGAATTCAGTCTGTGCTCATCTTTCCTCAGTCAAACGTACAAGTACTACTCCTGTCTGAGCCCTTCATTATCTACTGCAGAGTTCAACCTGCCCTTTACTAGACTCCTCCTA